CTTTCAGAAGTGATGCAGATACAGGGGAAGGTTGTCTCCATAGACACTAAGGTCTATGGAGACCTTCAAAAATATACTTGAGTAGGAATAAGTATATATGTTATTTGCAAAAGTACTTAGTATTACAGAAAACACAAGGAAAAGTTATGAATTATACTTAAAAACTAGTGAAAAATGTGCAGGATAACATTGAGAACATTTGTTTTAATTAACTAATAGCAAAAGGATCGATAAAGCAATTTGTTTCCTAAGAATAAGAAGCAAAAAACATGGTATTGCTTCCTTTCAAAAGCAGTAGGAATCTGTAAAGCGTAGCAACTGTATTTCAAACCGATTCGATGATAGGGTTTTAAAGTAACTTAAAAATGTCTAAACATTTTAAATCTTGAAATTATACATCAGGCCATAAGTAACATCTTTCTTAGAATTGTTTTTGTATAAAGACTAGCTCGAATGAAGAAAAAATTGTGGCTTTTGTTTTTAGATTCATGGAGCATGATTTTCAAAGAGACACAAAAATACAGTCTAGTTTCCTAGGACTATAGTATTAAAATACCACAAAGTGGATGGTTTTAAAAAGCAAAGTTATTCTCATTGTTGGCTGGCAGTCCACATTTAGGGAGGAAGCAGTACAAACTTCTAGGGAAAGCCTAGAGGGATTTAGTGGAACTCCTGTGTTAGTCTGGGTGGACTAGAGAAACAAATTCATAGACACTCGTGTATAAGAAAGAGCTTTACATAAAAGAGTATATTGAGAAAACATCCCAGCCTAGTCCAGATCAAGTTCATAAGTCTGATATTAGCCCATATGTTGGATACCAGTCTAAATTCCTCTTCAGACCCACACAACACATGCAATGATGCCCGAATGCAGGAAGATCACAGGGCAGTGTGTGGAAAATCTTGTGGATCCTGTGGTGGTGGAAGGATCTCAGCGCTGGCATGGGCTTCCCCGTGGCTTCTCCAGCTCCAGGACTCTGACTCCTATCACCATAGCTCCATGTGGCTTGTCAGCAGGAAGACAAGCAGAGTGTCTCCTGCCTCCAGGGAGGAAGACTAGTCCCAGAATCCTCAGGGGAAGAACAGGCCCACACAGAGGTCTCATTGGCTACGACCTGATTGACGGCTAGACTCCACCCCTTTGCTCAAGTTGACAAAAGATTATGTGACTGCCACACCTTATCTTAGCTTCTGTAGCTCTGGGTACTTCTTGGCATTCCTTAACTTTTGGATGAACTGTCATAAACAGTCTCCCTTTGTGTGCTACTTTTTCCATATTTGTCTTCCTGTTTTCATAAGTTGCCAGTCATAGAGGATTATGACGCACTCCACTCCAGTATGACATCAGTTTAACTGGTAACATCTACAAAGAAAAACTATTTGCCCAGACAAGTTACATTCATAGGTTAGGACTTTTAACACATCGTTTGGGGAGTGGGGGTTCACAATACAATTCAACTGGTAATACAGGTGTAAATGGAAGTACTGCAGTGGCAAAATAAATAAAGGGGTCCAGGTAAAGAAAAAAAGTAAAACCGGAATTTAGATGGTGCCTTACACTTAAGCTTCAGTACCTGAGAGAGAAACTCCAACAAAAGTATGGGCACTAATAGGTGCCTGCCTGAAGAATTAAAGTAAGCATGGTTATTGTGGAAAGTGATGGGTCTGGTGCTGGTGTATCTAATCTATTTTTCTAAAGAGTCATAAATGGACAGTGTAATCAGCTTTCAATTCTTGGCAATTCTCAAACTGAAAATTTAAAGCATTGTGCAGGGCCAAATGTGGCCCAAGGGCTCCCAGTCTGAAGTGCTTGGTAGTACATATTTTTTGGCATCGGAGGTATATTGCTACAAAGGTTTCTTTTCATGGTTCTCAAATTCATAATTCTCTGGGAGGTTTTTAAAAGTGAAGATTGCGGGAGCCCACAAGTCTTTAAAAAGCTTCACAGGAAATTCTGATAAGTCTGTTGTGGATCTAGTGCTCTAACAAAAACAAGACAGTAATTGTGGAAGTGGACAGATCAAATAGAAAAGCTACCTCTAAGATGTAGCAATGCTTTTGGGATGAATTAAACTGGTGGTGTGAAAATGAATAAAACATTTACTGCTGTGTAATAACTTCCTAGTGGGAGAAGAACCACTGGTTGGGAGCAGAGTGAGGAAAAGATTATTAGAAGTTCAGTAATTGGAGCTCAGACTTCGGAGATTTGGAAATTTGCTAAGTGGTGCCAAATAGATAAGGTATTGATAAAGATTAGATTTAACAATTTGGAGGACTTTTGTAACAATGGAGTGGGAATTCGGGGTAAGTTTAAGCAGAATTCATAATGGTACTTGCTGGCATGATGAAAAGTTGGAAATATAGACCAGAGGTTCTCAAACTTGGCTCCCTTTTCAGAAAACAAAACAAAAAAAAATCAGTGCCTAACTAGCAACTAAAAAATTTTATACTATCTAGCCCATGAAATCCAAGATAAAATGTGGGTATTGTTCCTGGATTGTTCCAGACCCTTGCGCCAGGGGGCATTGCTGCCTATTTTAGGAAACACTGCTACAGACAATGGGGACTTTTTCAATTTGGTAGGAAATGACTTGTTGGGAGAGATTGTTGGCTGTGAGCTGTGTGTGTTCACCAGTCATCCCTCCCCAACTGTTTACTTGTGAATACTGCCTTTGAGTTTGTGGCTCTGGACTACCTAAAGTGCAGTTAAAAGCTTTTCCATTCTCCCATACGACTACAGAAAGAAATTCCATTTTGGATTGTTACATTATTAAGTTCTTAGGTCTGCTTCTTTCACATCTAAGAAGTTAAGTATGCTGCATTATTGATACTGCACTAAGGATCCTAGAAGTGTAATTTCTGATGGCTTTTTTCTTGTTAGTATATGGCTAAGTTATCTAGTGCTGCTGAAACAGAAATACCAAAAATGAGTGACTTCAACAAACATTTATTTTCTCAGAAGGCTAAAACAAAACCCACTGCCATCGAGTTGAATAGATTATGACAACTCAACAATAACCCTACAGAACGTCTTTGCTTTCTGAGGCTTCCAACCTTGAAGCAGACTGCCACATTTTCTCCCACGGAGCTGCTGCTGGGCTCCAACTGCCAACCTGTGGCTAACAGCCAGTACTTCACCATTGCACAACCAGGGATCTGTTGGTTAAGGGGTTCAGAAGTCTGCATTCAGGGCACCTGCTCTGGGGGAAAGCTTTCTGTAAAGATTGCTGCCAAGAAAATTGTGGGGAGCTCTAGCTTGCCAAAACTAAAATAGCCAAATGAAAATTCTTAGTTTTGTTTTCCAGTTAATACATCTTAGCAAATGTTAAAATATATATTCTGATTCAGTATATCTGGTTTGGAAATACACATTGTCAGCAGGTAGTCAAACCAAAATGAACTGGAATCAAAACCTTGGTGCAAATCTGGAAGAGAAACGTTCCAGATATCTTAAGTCAACTCTTAAACCAGATGTAAGGTGGTAGATTTCCTGCTTTCCCAGATGACATCAAAGCTGGCTGGAGACATTAGTTGGGTTGGATGGTTTCTTTTCCACCCATACGCCTTCAAGTCCCAGCTCCAAGAAGAGGGTGGTGAAATTTACTAGTGTCCAATCTTGGCAGACCTCTGAATCCAGCTCCTGCATTGCTGGCCTCAGGAATCCGGACAGCATCACTCAACCAATGAAGTGTCTCAGGCAAGAAGTATCCTCAGAGCTGTGCATTTTTCCTATTTCTGGATGTGTAGGGGGGTGACACGTTGGACTGCTAACCGCAAGATTAGTTCAAAACCACCAGCCACTCAGAGCGAGAAAGAGTCAGAATTCATTGGAAGGCATAAGTTGCGTTGAAGCTGTGCACCTATTTACCTGCAGCATAGGAGTTCATCTTTTTATTAACTCTTGTTATTTTCAATGGAAACATTTTTTTTCACTGTTAGATGAATGCCCTTTAACCAGTGTTGTCTTTCCAAGTCCACATTCCCAGGGTTGGCAGAGTGTGGCACTGCCTGCGACGTGGAGCATGTTCAGTAAATGTTCAATCATACCAGTGAATGGTGCCACTTCCGCCCTAAACTCCTTTTGCCTGTTCAAACGCTCCGGAGGTGCCTCTTTCTGAGAGATTCGATTAATATCTTAATATTTCTATCTCTATATCCTAACATAAGATTGGGGAAATATCTTGCAGGCAAACTCAATAGTTTCTTAAAT